TGGGGACAGTGGTGGTGGGGACAGCATTGGGACAGTGGTGGGGACGGTGGTGGCGGGGGCAGTAATGAGGGCGGTGGTTAGGATGGTGGTGGGACAGTGGTTCAGTGGGGAGAGTGGTGGGGACTGGGGACAGTGGGACAGTACATTGGGACAGCGGTGGGGACAGTGGGGACAGTGGGACAGTGGTGGGGACAGTGGGCACAGTGGGACAGTGGTTGGGACAATGGGGACAATGGGGAGAGTGGGATCGTGGTGGGGACAGTGGTGGGGACAGTGGGGACAGTGCGACAGTGGTGGGGGCACTGGTCGGGAAGGTGAGGACCATGGTGGGAACAGTGGGGACAGTGGGACAGTGGTGGGGACAGCGTGGACTGTGTGACAATGGTGGGGACGGCGGTAGTGGGGACAGTGGTGAGGGGACACTGGGGAAGTGGTGGGGACAGTGGGACAGTGGTGGGGACAGTGGTGAGGGCGGTGGTGAGGACGGTGGTGGGGAGAGTGGTGGGGACAGTGGGGACAGTGGTGGGGACAGTGGGGACAGTGGTGAGAACAGTGGGACAGCTCAGTGGGACAGCGGCGGGGATAGTGTGGACAGTTGGACCGTGGTGGGGACGGTGGTGGTAGGGACAGTGGTGAGGGCGGTGGTGATGACGGTGGTGGGGACCCGGCAGTCTTTTGCTGGCGGCGTTGGGGGGGGTTGTTCGAACATGTAGTACCCCCCCCCCAGTTTTCTGGGGGTGGGGGGGTGGAACACGGCGGTGACCCCCCCCAGTTTTCCAGAGAAAGTGAGGGGGGGGAGGGATTAGGGGGGGGGGGGCCGCGGGAAGGGGGGGGGTACACAGGGGAGGGGGATTTTCGGAGAGGGAGGGACCCCTGGGGTTCCAGAGGAAGGTGAGGGGGAATTTTTCACGGCAAAGCAGCGGTGGATCACGCTCTCTCCAATATAATGTCCGAATGCCTTACGAATGTAAACAAGTTGTTACACATGTCACACACATTTTTAACCACTTCAAACACATCTTCAATCCAACGGCAAGACTGTGTTAGACTGTCCACTGCCATGGCTTCCGGAAGGTTGGGGGGGCGTGCGGGCTCCATCGTGTGTTCTCGATGTTCCAGGGCGCCTCCTCCTCCTCCTCCTCCTCCTCCTCCTCTCCTCCTCCTCCTCCTCCTCCTCCCCGCTGGAACTTTGCAGGCCCTGCGGCGACTCTCCGGGGGCGGGCTGGGCCGTCGGGGGCAGCGGTAGGCGGGCGGGGGGGGGGGACGCCTCGGCCCGCCGTCGCCCCATTGATCGCCCCGAACGGGGGCCCGGCGGCCCCGCCCGGCCCCCGGAGCATGCGGCTTCGCTGTCGGGGGCCCATCGCTGTAGAGGAGGGGATCGTTGTGCGTTGCACTGTTCTGCCGGCCGGCGCGGGCCCTCGCAGCCCCTCCCCAGACCTCCCCCCTTTGGAGCAGGCTAAAACAGGGCTATAGGATCGAGATTAATCGCTCCAGAGCGTTCCGGAGCGCTCTCGGAGCGTTCCGGAGCGCTCTGGAGTGGCCGCGGCGCCCGATACATCCTCCAAACCCGCCGATTCTCAGAGATTTCGAGTTATCCCGATCCGATTTTGTCCCGATCTTCGCGTCGTTTTACAGGCCTCCGCTGATCACCGTTTTGCGTTTCACCGTTTTGCCGGCCGGCGCGGACCCTCGCCTCCCCTCCCCGGACCTCCCTCCTTGTGAGCAGGCCTCCGCTGTTGCCTGGCGCCTGCCTCAAGCAGGTGGAGTGTCCCCAAGACGACGCCCGGCGGGGGCCCATCTCTCGGGGGCGGCAAAGAGCGGGATGGTGACTAGGGGGGGGGATATCATGGCGGGGGCCATGCTATCTCCCCAGATGTCATGGCGCCTCCTCTTATTTCATTACCTCCCTGGCCCCCCCGCTGGGCCGCGCACATGCCGCCGGTCATGATTTGCAACCCCCCTCTTGGACACCCCCCTCTTGGCCGCTCCCGATCGGGGGTGGACAGAACCCCCAACAGTGACGCGTCGATTAGTGAATTGTCCGTTTTCGGTTCTCGGGAGGGCGCCGTGACCGTTATTTTCCAGGCTTGCGCCCGCCAGGTTTGGGCCTCCGGTCGTTTTCACGAAACCACGCTATACTAAAGGGGGGTCTGTCCATCCCCGACTATCGCCGATCTATCAGAGATGTATCGCCGATTCCAGGTCGATGTGCCCCCCCCTGTGCCAGTCTCCCCCTCCGTAGACGGGTTAGCGGCGATGTAGGTAGCGGCGATGTAGGCTTCGGTATCGCGGGAACGCGTGGCTCGCACTTTCCCACAATTCGCTGTGTCGTGCTCGCTCGATGCACTCGCAGGTTGGAAATGCAGGAAAGTGTGATTCGCGATTTCCTGTATTTGTTTCCCAGTATCACCGCTAAGCAGATCTCGAAGAAGAACAATCGCCATACACATGTTTTTTTGGCGCTGAGCGCAGATATTTTGGATCTGAGCTGGACCCCTCTCCCTGGCGCGCGGAACGCGCCAGGGACAGCGACAGAGGCGCCGCCAGGGGAGCCCAGCGCGGCTCAAAGAACTCCGCGCGGAGCGCCAACAGTTTATCTTCATGGCGTTTCTTCCTTCTACTATCGCCGAGTCCAGGTCGATGTGTTCCCCCTATGCCAGTCCCCCCCAACGTTGCCCCTCAGGGGTGGGGCATCGCCCGCCGCGCGATCCCCCTGGGGGGGCCCGGGCGGAGCGGAGCGTTATCATCATCATCATCATCATCATCATCATCATCATCATCATCATCATCATCATCATCATCATCATCATCATCAGCGTCATCATCAGCGTCATCATCATCACCACCACCACCATCATCATCATCATCATCATCATCAGCGTCATCATCAGCGTCATCATCACCACCACCACCACCACCATCATCATCATCATCATCATCATCATCATCATCATCATCATCATCATCATCATCATCATCGTCAACATCGTCATCATCATCATCATCATCAGCATCAGCATCAGCGTCATCATCAGCGTCATCATCATCACCACCACCATCATCATCATCATCAGCGTCATCATCAGCGTCATCATCATCACCACCACCATCATCGTCATCATCATCATCATCAGCGTCATCATCATCATCATCACCACCACCACCATCATCATCATCATCATCATCATCAGCGTCATCATCAGCGTCATCATCATCACCACCACCAACATCATCATCAAGATCATCATCATCATCAGCGTCATCATCAGCGTCATCATCATCACCACCACCACCATCATCATCATCATCATCATCATCATCATCGTCAACATCGTCATCATCATCATCATCATCAGCATCAGCATCAGCGTCATCATCAGCGTCATCATCATCACCACCACCATCATCATCATCATCATCATCATCAGCGTCATCATCAGCGTCATCATCATCACCACCATCATCATCACCAGCATCAGCGTCATCATCATCATCATCACCACCACCACCACCACCATCATCATCATCATCATCATCATCATCATCATCATCATCATCGTCAACATCGTCGCCGTCGTCGCCATGCCGCTCGTCGTGTAACAATCGTCATCTGATTCACAGTCGTATCGCTCAGCGCCATGACCATCACCCTCGTTCGAGCATCTTGTCGGTCACCAGTGCTGCCACCATCAGATTGTTGGGATTGCACCCGCGATAGATGCCTGGGCCCCTGCGTCGAATACAAAGAATGGGTAAGCTCCTGGGGTCAGTTTGGGGGATTGCTGTTTTGTTTGGGGGGGCATCTTGGAGCCGTGCTGGGCCGTCCTGGGCGATCTAGGCGGCATCGTGGGGCCTTCTCGCGGCATGTTGGGGCCGTCTTTGGCAATCCTCGAGGCTCTGGGGGCCGACTTGAAGCGGCACTGGGACATCTTGGGAGCAACAACAGGACATGGATCACGCAAACAAAGTGAAACGCATCCACACACATACTGCTGTGTTCTATGTGCTTAGCCTTCTGAGGGGCGCTGCTGGGCCATCTTACAGGCACCTCGGGGCCGTATTCGGCCGTCCTGTGCTCTCGGGGCCCTCTTCGAAGGCCCGCGGGGCAGTCTTCACGGCGTCTGGCCTCGGCTCTCTCGGCTGTTCGGCGGCGCCCTTGCCTGCGGGAGCCGTGGAGGCGGAGGAGGAAGAGGAGGAGGAGGGGGAGGAGGAGGAGGAGGCGGAGGAGGAGGAGGAGGAGGAGGAGGAATAGGAGGATGAGGAGGAGGAGGAGGAGGAGGTGGAGGAGGCAACCTTGAGCTGCCAGGAGGGCGACCCCCCGACCCCCCCGTGTTCGGCTGTGCAGCGCGGCCGCCCTGCAGTGGAGACCCATGCCCAGAAACACCCTGCTTGCCTCCAGGGTGCCCCGGGTTTCTGGGGTTTCGATGCTTCTGCCATGGGAAGCGTGGCATCCCCACACCAACGATCGATGGACGTTCTGGGGTCTCAGGGTTGGGTCTCTTGTGGATGGAATGTTTCTTGTGGTCGGGTCCCGACAGTAGTCGACAGCAGAAGTCCTCACAGTCTCGCGCCCCCAATACAGGCCAGACGTACGCCGTTGCATCCTGCAGCCGTCGTCGACCGGGCGGGACTGAGCACACACACAATTTCTCGCGGCAGCCTACCCATGTCATTTTGCGAGTCTGCTCCCCTCGTATTCATCTAGCGTAGTCCGAGTCTGACATGTCCAGCCTCGCGGCGATCACTCCGAGCAGTGTTCCCATAGCCCGTGTGGTGTTGTCATACATGTCACCTCTTCGTTGTGGCTTGTTCGATGTGCCACCCCCATCTGTGTGCTTGCGTGCTCGTTCTAGCATGCTGCGGCTCTCTGAACCTGTGACAGTATATTGGTGCTCTCCCTCGCTTGCATGCAGCCAGTCTTCTCCGCGCAGTATGTTTGCATTGTGTTCAGGAATGACTTCGCCAATCCGTGATAATGTACGCAAGCGTTGCATGCCCAGTGCCAAATCTCTCACCAACGGCAAGACCGCCGAGACCGCCGACTTCGGGCAAATGGTATTAGGTGGTCCAGCCCGGCGTCTCTCTATTGATGTTGTGCGAACGTTTAGTTTTCTGTCAAGTGTTCAGCATGTCCTTGCACATGGCACGGTGGTGATTGAGCAGGCATTCTGCGTCAAGTCTGTCTGTCCTGATCCAGGTACGTTTCCGCGCATATCCGTCCCCACGGAAGAAGAATGTGTTCAGCAACGACGTAGAGCCAGGCGGCCGTCGCGACTAGCCTTGACTTGACAGCTTCTTTGGAGGTTCGCTGGGGCCTCTCAGAAGCCTCTCAGCGGCCTCTCAGGGGCCTCTCAGGGCCCCCTTGGGGACCCTGGGAACCAGAGCATCGGCTTGATGGGGCGCTCTTGTCCCAGCAAGCCTTGCAAAGTGTGCAAAGGCATTGTTTCGCTTGCTCTGATGTTCAGCCGTCCTTGCTGACACACGTGTACGAGTCATTAGATTGTTCTCTTGGGTGACAGATGTCCATCGTTCATGCAGGCGCATGCCACGTTCGATGGCAAGCCTTGCAGTCGAAACGGATGTGTGGGATGCGAGAGAGATCCATGCCGAGTGACGCGTGACGGGGAGGAGGAGGAGGAGGAGGAAGAGGAGGAGGAGGAGGAGGGGGAGGAATGCGGGAGGAGGAATGCGGTAGGAGGAGGGGGAGGAGGAAGGAGGAG